CTTCCATCAACACCAGCAGTAGCATTGACCTCATCATCATTATCCACACCAAACTCTGTCCTCCTAAACCTCCTACGTCTCCGAGGATTGCTCATCATTCCAAGCAAGATTGGACCCCATAGAGACAATGCACGGTCTGTACCGAAATCAATCTCTGGGTCTTGAACCTCCCTTAGGCTTCTGCGGCTGCTTCCACCATTAATCTCACCGCTCATTTCCTCGACGAACCCGCTTTGGCAAAAAGGGCATTTGATCTCGGCCTCAAGAATTGGATTCACCATTTCTGAACACATATGACACCAATACCTACCCGCCATTGCCTCTTCCTCCTTCTCCCCTTCCAAATCTCTCTCTATTTCTGAAACAACCAGAAGAAGAACCCAAGAAAGAGGATGAACACCTATAAATTTCCCATCTTATGCAGATCTAAATAAAGACAAGGGCATTCCCAAAAATTGCAATAAAACGAGGAAGATCATCATTGGCTCAATATTCAGACAGGAAAATCAAGTTTCCTATGCAAACGCCAATAAACTACAGAATTGATCACCCCAAAAGCAAAATAATATGATTACCCAAAAAAGAGAGAATAATAGAAATCAGAGCAAATCCATGAAAACAAAACTTCCAATTCTCATGCTCATAGAGAAATCCAAACAAATACAAAACCATACCTTGTAAATGTTCCTACTTTCTGAAGATCCAGAGGGAAAAAAACAAATTATCTTCCTCCTTCTTTAGATCTCCACCAGGAAAATAGAACCACGGAGCTCTTCGTTTATCTAATTATCATCTGCAGAAATGGCGAGAGAAGAAGAAAAGAGGAAAGGAAGACGAAGAAGAAATGCAGACCCAATCTAAAGCCCATTAACCGCAATCTGATATATAAATGGGCCGGGTCAACCATTACCAATTGTAATTAGAAACGACATTGAACCGAACCGAACCGAACCGGTTGAAGTTGAGGGGGTTGAAAGAGGAGAAAGTATTGTCTCGGTGCCAGAAAGGCAATTTCCGACGATGAGCGAAACCGAAGAACCCGGCGTTACTGAAGATTCGGCTCCGGCGATTTCAGCTGCTTCTGATGCGACGGACCATACAGCGATCGGGGTGGTCGATTCCGTGGAGGAAGCCATCGGAGGAGCAGAGAAATGGGTTGATGATCTCAGCCGGACGGTGAAGGAATCGACGGATTCCGCCATTCGCTCTGCTCGTTCCCTCCGCGAAAACTCTACCTCTCAGTTCCGATCTATACAGGTTAATCTCTCTCTTATTTTCATCCAATTAGTGTTCGAGATTCTTTAGCAACAAATTTTAGGATTCAAACTCTAGATATCTGGATTCAACATCTCTCGCTTATGGTGAAATCATAGCCTTAGAGCTTATAGGCAGTGATCCCAGTCTCTCATGGGCTCTGATTCTGTTTCATCTCTTTCAAATGGAGTATTTTGTTTAGAAATCTGCAATGTATCGCTTTGATTATCTCCCAACATTGAGTTCGTCAAAGCAACAATGTTGCTTAAAGATATACTATGGATTACAGTTCCATTAGCTGTATGTGTATATATGTCTCCGTCTCTTCCAACGATAGTTACTTCTGTTTTTGAGATTGCAGGATTTCATTCCACATGCTTTGACTCAGTATAAGACCTATGAGAATGCTTTCTTCAGTAAAGTAACAGGTAAATTGACGCCAATTTTCATGTGCTTGTAGTTGTAGACTACTTTAATGCTTGCGAACGAGTATTTAGATCAAACCATTGAGATACAACTGATAGTTTCCCAAAACCTTCATTCGTTTTTGTGGTGTATCTAATTCTGTGCTTTAACAAGAATTTTCTTATCATTCCAGATGATCAATCCTTGCATGGTTTACTAGAGTTGTATCAGCTAAATTGATCGTAAATCTAACTCACTATCCGCTTCTGTTTTATTTTGGTCTCTGCAGAAGAATTGGTGAAAGCAAAGGAGCACCCAGCTGCTGCTGCTGGGATTGGTCTCACTGCTGCTCTCGTTCTTATGCGAGGTATGATCGCTGCTCTCTTATTGCTTTTACAACATACAAGATTCCTTTGCTTAGGAGAATCCAAAAAGTATCACATCTCTTTTGCTTAGATGTGTCTTGTATGAATCTGGTTTACTGTGGTTTTAATTACAGGCCCAAGAAGATTCTTGTTTCGCCATACAGTGGGCCGATTTCAGAGTGAAGAGGTATCAATCATGCCACCGACTTCAAATTCATGTTATACTTTCCCTGGTTTCTATCGCTTTTATTTTCATCCGCTACAATCATCTCTTCAGGCACAATTCTTGAGAGCTGAGAAGCAGGTCCAGGAGTTGAACATGTCTGTAGACTTGATGAAAAAAGAGAGCAGGAAATTGCTTGAGAGGGCGGCTTTAGCAGAGAAAGATATGAAACGCGGTCTCTCTGAACTCATGTATTCCTCAACATCAATGGACCCCCTTATTTTATTTACTTAAATGACATCATTGAGTTTATAAGGCTACTACTGTCATATCTATAGGGACTCTGGGAATAATATACATCGTCTTGCTAAATCTGTCCACAAGGTTGAATGCGAAGCTACAGGTAAGAACACCATATATACATCTTTATCCTTTTCTACCTTCCATGAGTCAACATAGAATGTGTTATTGAGCTTAAATCCATGTTCTATTTGATCTACTGTGATGAAGTCACTACGTCAGATCTCAATTTACACAGAGACTTGTATTCTCTGCAGATTTAATGGATGGACTGCGGCAAATTCCTGGAAGGGAAGCTATTAAGCTTAGAGCAGAAGTGAGTCAGACTTTTTTTTACTTCCCCCATGTGTTTTAGCTTCATTGCAACAAATATTCATCCAAACTCTCTTGTCATTAGGTGGCTTCCATGACTTCACTCTTGAGGCAGAAGAGGATTGCATTGAACAAAAGGATCATGAGGATGTCTGAGCTAGGAGTTCCCGTCTGATATATCCAACACAAATCCACCATTTCTTGAGTTTTCTCAAACAAACAAAGTTTATCAGGTATTTTCCCGATTCAGTCGGAGTATTATCGTTCATAAACATCAACTCTGTCTGAAACCAAAACCTTAGCTTTGTTTATGACTAATGAGGTATTTTCCCTCATAAACACCAACTCTGTCTGAAACCAAAACCTTAGCTTTAGATAGAACTTGAGGTTTTTTTTTGGGTCCGAGACCATCCTGAGATTTGTGGCTCAGAGAGAATTAACTGATTAAGAAATTTATTCGTGCTTCAGTTTGGAGAGTCCTTAGTCTAGAGAATTTATAAGAAACGTATATTAAGTGTTATTGGACCAATCAGTCATGCTTAACATGGAGTTTCTGAAATTAATACTGAAATGTAACTCTACGGGAAACGGAGTGTTGGCCATCCACCCACGCGACTAGGCGACCCAACTGCTCTGGTTGGTCTCATTGCGTTAAATCCTCCAGACGAGCAAGAAGCTTCAGTCGTCTGACCATTCCGGCCGTTAATGTCCAGAGTCCGATCTCTCCTCCTTAGACGCTCCCTCTTGAGCAGAGTCCCTAACTTATCTTTTCCCTTTTTGCCCTTGACCGGAACTGGTACCATCTCCAGACCCATCAGCTTCGCAACCACCCCAGTTTCACACCACACCACACTCTCTCCAGCCACTGTCCGAGGCAGGCGCTTTAACTGCAAGCTCATCTGGTCTGTTCTCCTCGTTCTCTGTTCCTCACCGCAGTGCGCTCTCTGCCCACCCTGTCTTGCCATGCCAGCACCAGCGCCAAGCTGGCACCGGAATGATGACCGATACATCGCATCCTTACCGTCCAGCGAGAAACGTGGGTATTGATTCAAAGCATTCCTCGCCGACCTTGACAGCAATCACATAAAGCATAGGTTTTTGAAAAACTAAAAACAAAACAACTCAAAAGCTGAAATGCGTAAATATCAATTTGAATCTTGATTCTATCAGTACAGCTCGTACATAATAAATACATTTACTATTACTACAAATTTCACTAGTGTAACTACACCAAAAAACCTACAAATTTCATCCGTATAAGAAATCCATAAAGTATAAAAACACTTTTAATCGTAGTCACTTGTTTCATAAATCGAAACTCAAACCGGTTATAAATCAGGAAACCATTTTTTCTCTTGTATTCATCTTGAGTTTTACTATATACAATTTATAGATAAAAATCAAAAGTTAACAATTCGTACGTCTCATGAGTGATTACTATCTACATATTATACATACGTATGACGCACCTCAAAATATCGGAGCTATTAACGCATGACATTCGAGCGGGCTGATGGTATAACGTATCATCATCATCGTCACAATGATCATAAGTACCGTAGTAAGATTCACGGAGTCTAGCTCTTCGAACAATATCTTCTTCAACCTCTAGCTGAAGTATCATCTCCTCTAGCGTTCTCGGCGACCCTCCACCGAAAGGAGTGTTTTCAGGTGTGACAGATGGTCCCACATCGATCTTTTGATGTTGGTTTAGTGTGGAAGTCGATCCATCACCACCACAAGAGCTCGCAAAGCCACCACGTGGACCTCGTCCTCGCATTCTCGAGGCGAGAGAGTATTTCTTTAGAAAGAAGAAAGACAGATCTTTCATTGTGTTGTTTGAGATATTGTCTTAAGGATTTGAAATTCATGGTGAAGAAGAAGAAGCCATGGTGGTTTGTGGCGTGAGAGGAATGAATTCGGGGTGGTGGGAGATAGTTTTTGTAAGTTTTGGGGTAAAAGATAAGTATTTTGTTTTAATGAGTGTCACGTAGAAAAGTGTCATTGGTGGTCACGAGGTTCTCTTTACTCATCTTTCACGTATTATAAATGTTTTGTTTCCCGAACCATTCTTTGTACGTAATTGTTCTTACTTCTTATCTCAAATATTGATCAAGGAGCTATTATTTCTCCAATTGACATAAACCACAAAATATAGGGAAAGATTGTAAGATTTTATAAGTTAAGGAAAACACTATAATATCTGAAATACAACGTTTCAGTCTAATAATCAGTTATTCCAGCATTCGTCAAACGACGTCGTAGATATAATTTTTTGACATGTCTATACTAAGCATATGCATAGGTAACAATCAAGAGAATAAATTAAAAAAAATGCTATTTTTCAAGTGTTATTTTACAAAAATGTCATATTTTTGAAATTTTTACAAAAATGTCACTTTTTCAAAATTATTTTTTCTTTATATTATTTATGTTTGGGTTAACTATATTCTATTAGGGTTTAGTTACGAGGGTTTATAGGGGTTTAGAGTCACAACATTT